GTCCTGGAGGATATAATGAATTTATGATGGGAACAAGGGAACATCAATGTTGGTATTTCTCATGGAGGGAATGTAGAATACTAACAAATGTGTGATGGAACACAGGAATGCCTGCAGCCTTCCTCAACTGTTAGGTCAAGTGATGTTCCCATGCTGTGCATAGTATAAGCTTGAACATGCTGGCCTACTAATCAGGGCTGCTTGCTGACATGTAAACTTGTAACTCTATTATCAAAAGAGCTGTAATAATAAAATTGAGCCTGGTGTTCCAGTTCCCACTTATGTCTCCCGTGCCCTCCCTGGTTTTTGGTTTGCATTCTTGGGCATCGATCAGGAAAAATGATTTGGCTGGCCTCTTATACTTTTAAATCAGATCTGCCGGTATCCTTGTTAATTAAGCAAGTATTGCACAATCACACACAGTAAAAGTTGGCCGTGTCTCAGAGGTGGTACCTCTCTTCAGTCCTGGGCTTTTCTCTCATGTCACCATGATGCCCTTCCTTCCTTTTTCTTCAGAAACAGAGTCAGTATGTAGCTCTGGAAGGCCCCTTACTATGTAAACCTCCATAGTCTTGAACTCATAGAGCTCTGCCTGCCTCTGCACTTCAAGTGCTAGAATTAAATGTGGGCACCACCTAACTCAATTCCTTCCTATTCCATCCTGCCTTATTTCTACCAGTGTGTTTAAGATGCATCCTGACACATGGACTTCTCTGCTCTGTTGCTATAAAAATGTCATGAAACAGTTACCACATTGGGTTACAGAATATGGGGTAACATTAATTTGTGTTCACTGTTCATAGCCACCCATATTTGCATCCAGAATAAACTCTGAGGTTTGGTCTGTGTTTCTTGTGTCATCATATGCAATTGAGTGTAGGAATCTGATGCAAATGTAAGTTCAAAGAAAGGACTGACAACCCAAGCTTCTTTAACATCCTAAGCAACACACACACACACACACACACACACACACACACACACACACACACACTTGGGCCTTAGTGGGTTTGGAGATGGGTTGTGGAGGAGGGAAGGAGGTCTGGTGAGCACTGTTGTCTTGTTCTGCACACAAGTACCTCAGATCACAGTGTCTCAGCACAGCTGCTTTCCTGATGAGTACAGCTGTGAATGGAAGCATCCTATAGAGAGGGAACTTTCTCTTATAAAGTGGTCCCTTTCTAGGCAGCTACTTTTCCTGCAGGTTCTTAGACAGATGGCTGACAGTCAATATTCCAGAACCATTTTGGTGGAGTATTTTCTGAGATCCAGCATGGTATTAGAAAGATGAAACTTTACAATGACACGATTTATAATACAAGTTGGATATTGGGTTCACACTGACAAAAGCTTAATGATAGATAGATAAGCATTCTGCCAGCAAAACTGTTGACATCATGGGGACCTGGGAATGGGTAATGGTTGACAGAGACAAAAAACTCTGGGTTCTCTTCAAGACTGAACAGGTTTTATTTTTTTCCCACTGCTGTTTATATATGATTTACCTATCTACTGGAGATCGCACTACAAGCAGAGCTTGAGAAAGGGCCTCTTTGTCCCCCTTATCTGAGTTCTTCCTTCTGCACTTCCTGCCCTTGTGGCCTTGTTTTGTCCTGGAGGACATTCCTCCTAGGATCTACCATGTACCTACAGTTTTCCCCCAGTCAGGGGGCCACATCTGTGTTAGTGCTTGAGAAAGGAACAGCAGAACATCTGGACCCCAACATTTCTGCCTCTGCTGAATGTAAGGGTCAGTGTGTAGGTAGATAAAAACATATATACACTTATTTTTGCAGACTGATCTGCAAATTCGATGTAATTCTAATTAAGATCCCAGCCAAAGGGGCAGATTGCCAGGCTGGGGACAGAGTATCACACCATCCTTTCTATCTATAACCACCACATGTGATGTGACAGGCACCCTCAATGAGTACCACAAGAACATCTTCACTGGCACCAATCACGGCTCCCAAAGCGAAGACTTACTGTACCTGACCACAGCCAACAAGGTGGTTCCAATCACCTACAGCAAGTGTAGAGTGACAAGTGACACAGGGCTCCACAGGGTCCACACTGAAGTTCCAAGCATGGAGTCACTCACCAGAATCCTGAGTGCACAGGAAGATACAAGGCCCTTCACAGACACCAGCAACCCTGACTTCCTGAGGGGTCCCTCTAGGTTCTGTGTAGTTCCAGAATCGTGATCAAGAAACAGCTACAAGACCTGCTTTTGTTAAGCAGCCTCCCGGGGAGATATGTAGGAGGCCGTCTTAGAGCCCCTGAATATTCTTTGAACTTCTGGAAACAAATCATAGTGAAATTAACTTGTATCATTGTGCAAACCCCATTTCCACTGTTTGATAGACACTGGAGGCAAATAAATGGCTTGAAAGAAGGGAAGATTCCGTTTGGTTCCTAGTTTCAGGGTTATCAATCCACAGAGAGTTGGCGCCCTTGTTCGAGGCCTGTGCTATGCAGGAGAGCATGGTGGGAAGAACATGCCTTCTTTGTGGCAGAAGAAAGGAGGGTCCCTATGTGCCCTTCAAGGACATGCCCAAAGTGTCCTATTCTTTCAGCCGAGTCCTGCCTCCAGTGGTTACCATCAGCACCACAGCCTGTGGACAAGCTTTATTACATGAGTCTTTCAGAGATAGTTACAATCCAACTCATAAGCTGATGTGGACTACAAGTCTCTAAGCCCAGCACTTGGGAGGCTGAGGCAGAAGGATGGCAAACTGGAATCCAGTGTGGGCTTCCAAGCAAGTTCAAACCAAACATAGGCTACAGAGTGAGACCCAGTCCCAACAGCCTAAGTAATTCCAAAAGATCAATTCCTTTAAAATAGGTTATTATCACTGAGTACAACTCCTGAAATCCAATTGCAGAGAGAAAGAAATGATGAGAAAAGGGGTCAAGACCAGGCTTGAGAAACCCACAGAAACAGCTGACAGGAACAATGGGGAGCTCATGGACCTCAGACTGATAGCTAGGAAACCAGCATAGGACTGACCTAGACACCCTGAACATGCGTGTCAGTTAGGAGGACGGGGCAGTCTATGGGGCCTCTGGTAGTATATCAGTATTATCCCTAGGGTACAAATGGACTTTGGGAGCCCATTCCACATAGAGTATACTCTCTCAGCCTAGACACACAGAAGAGAGCCTAGGCCATGCTCCAAAAGATGTGATAGACTTTGAAGATACCCCATGGAAGGCCTCACCCTCCCTGGGGAGCAGAGGGGGGTGGGATGAAGGGGTGAGTATGGGGCAGGGGAGGAGAGGAGGGAGAGGGAACTGGGATTGACATGTAAAACAATTGTTTTTAATTTAAATTTAAAAAATGTATAAAAACACAGGTTATTATGACAATGTTATAAATGCTGTGCCCTGTCATTTCATGGACAGACCCTGTGCTTGGCAGAGCCGTGTCCAGTCAGCAGGTTAAGAGCTGTCATTGCAGCTGTATTCCAGGATGAACAAATTCCAAGTGTTAGACATCTGCTCTCACAAATGGAATCTGCACAAAGAGACATCACATGGGACAGCAAAATGCTGTGATTTTTATGACAAGTGTGGAAATCCTTCTTGAAACAATACCTTGCAACATTCATTAAGTTAAGAAGTATTTACTACAAGGTTATAATTGTAATTGTGAAGTACTGGATGTACTTCATAATAGAAATGTGGCCAGGTCTGACAATGCACCGCTGATTGGAATACAAAGGAGATTTTTATAACAGAATTTTAAAGGATATTTATTCTTTTGAAGCCAAAACTCATATCCACATGGCACTGGGATTGTAGCTCAGTGACAGAACATTTATCTAGAGTACGCAAGACCCCACTTCAAACCCCAGAACAAACACAAACACATACAAGTTCACAATAAAGTTTAGTGTATTTTGATTAAAATTGGCTTATAGTAACTCACGCATCTTAGACAAGGAGGTATTTCCCTGAAGGTCCTCAATGTAAAACTAGACCATTTGTACTAGTTCTGGAGGAAATGTGGGTAGTTTGAAATGTAGAAAGGAATCTCAAACAGAAAATATTGTGTGGCATGTCCTTAGTACACTTTTTATTATTATTTCTGAATACAATTTTTTAAAGTTTATTTTTTAACTTTTCATTTGAGTGTGAGTATGTGTGTAGGTGCATATGTTTGTGTGTGTGCACATATGGACCACTTGTGTGAATGTACTAATGAAAACCAGAAATGTGTCAGATTCCCCTGGAGCTGGAGTTCTTTCCAGTTGTGTGCTCTGGGTGACAAACGAGTCCTCTGGCAGGAGTCTGGAAGAGCAGGAAGTGCCCTTAAGCACTAAGCATTCTCACCAGTTCATAAAGTTTATTTTTATTTATGTGTATCTGTGGGTCTGTGTGCATGTGTATGTACATGCCAACAGAAGCTACTAGAGGACACCAGATCCCCTGCAAACAGAGTTACAGGCAGTTGTAAGCCACCCAACACGGGTGCTGGGACAAACCTAGGCATTCTGGAAGAGCAGCAAGTACCCCAAACACTGAGGCTTTTCCAGACCTCAACAACACATGATGTTAAAATTGAGAAAGAGGATGTAAACATCTCTTATGAATCTGGCTTTCCAAGGCTGTTTCCTCTAAGCACCGAGCCAGGCTTTTGGGAACCTTGGTCTGTCTGTAACAAGGTCACAGTCGCAAAACCTGCAGTCAATCAGCAGGCGATACAGAGACTTTTATGCAGGGCTCAGATTCAGACTTCAACTCTGCCCTGCACAAAATGACTTGGAATTAGATTCCTTATAATGGAGCTAGAAGGGCTGCTCATTGGGCGTCTGTTAGTTGGGCAAGTGAAGAAACAGAAGGCTGATTGCACAGTGAAGCAATGTGCCAGTCTGTGGCTTCTGCATATTGAAGACTCCAGACACCTGACTCTGCCAGCTCCACCCACAGGGTGGCTCTATATAAATGGACCCAAGTGCAGCTCACCCATCATCCCCGATTTCCAGGACCACCAGCACTGTGCTCTCACGGGAGCCACAACATAGACTGGGTAAGACACTGAACTCTGGGACTGGGACAGGAGGGGCAGGGATGGGGCAGTGTGTGGAGAAAAGGAACTGAGCTCACAGTGCCAGCAGAGGGCCTTCAGGAGGAGACAGGAAAAACTGAGCCAAGATGGGGAGTAGTTACTTCTCTTCTGTTCTCACAGGACACATGGGTGTGAAGCTGCTTGAGTCTGGACTTTGTCTCCTGCTGCTGCTGGGACTTGTCATAATGGTTGCCTCATTCCAGGTCCCACAGAATTTAACCCCTTCCCAGTGGTTTGAAATCCAGCATGTAAATAATAGGACCAATCTCCGATGTAATGCTGCAATGAGGGTAATTAACAGTTATACAGGACGATGCAAGGACAAGAATTCTTTCCTTCAAACAAGTTTTGCTGCTGTTGTTAGTGTGTGTGGCAGGAGAAATACTACTTGCCGTAATGGCCTTACAAATTGTCATAATAGTCCAGCTCCGGTATCTTTAACTTACTGTAACCTCACAACTCCAGGAAGACATTATACGCAATGCCAATACCAAAGAACACCAGCAACAATGTTCTACAGAGTTGCTTGTGACAATCCTACTCCACAAGACAATGGTTCCTATCCAGTAGTTCCAGTTCACTTGGATAGGATATTTTAGCTGAAGTACCAGCACTCTGTACCTTCATGAAGAGTCCATTCCTCTGCCTGCCCTGCCATCAGCATCTGTCCTCATGAAACCTGTCCCTGAATCCCTTTAATTCAGCTGAACAGATCTTTTTTACTCAATAAACAGCTTTGCATACTCAACTGGATCTCTGCATATCAGTGTGTATGTGTGTTTGTGTGTGTCTGTGTGTGTGTGGGGGGGAATGAGTGAGAAACAGGAAGGGGCCATCTCTTGAAAGACACAGAGAGACTCATCATCCGCTGATATGAAGTGTGAGTCTTCATGCAGTGTCTGGTGTACACGGAGCAGAGGTGTGATGCACCAGGTCTGTACCTCTCTGTTTCTGTCTGCATCCCCAGCTTCCACTCTGCTGCTCCTTCTGGGCCCCAGATGCAGCCCTTGGTCTCTCCCCACCACTGGAAAGTGGCAGCACTTCTGAATCTCAGTGGATAATGCCCTGCCCTGCCCTGCCCTGCGGGGCTGCAGGGAAACTATTCCTCTGCAGCAGCAAACAGAGCCTGTGCTTCCTGGTGGGTGTGTAGGGTCTGCACTTCACACATGAATGCTAAGTTGAGGAATTGCAGGGCTTGACATAATCCACTGACTTTAGGTAAAGTTGGGTCAGCATGAGGTCATCTCACCTTCTGACTAACTCAGAGTGCCATAAAACTGGAGCCACATCCTGTGGAGAAAGCTGTGAGCCTCCCTTCCCTCTTCCCACAGCACATCTCTTCCCAGTCAGGAACACAGCATCTCCCACACAGCAGAAGGAACAACTGGTCACCTCCTGCCCAACCCTCTCCATGTGCATCCTCACCGCCCTGTTATCACTTACCATCTACCTCTGCATTTCATCATCCGACAATCACATATCGAGCAATCATTGTGCTTTAAGGACAGCTCTAAAGTAGTGATGGAAAAAGACAAACTCAAGCAAGTCCATGCTCTTGTCCTGCCATACAATACCAGGATAAAAATGAATGTATAAAAGTCTGTTAAGTGTCAAGAGAAGATGACTCAGGGGGCTGGAGAGATGGCTCAGTGGTTAAGAGCATTGACTGTTCTTCCAGAGGACCTGCATTTGATTCCCAGCACCCACATAGCAGCTCACAGCTCCAGTTCCAATGCACATGAACTAAAATAAATAAATTATTTTAAAAAAAAAAAGACTACTCAGAGCAGAACAATGTCAAGGTTCTGAATACATCATAGAGAAGACACTCCTGGCATACATAAATAAAAAGGTCCCAAACTAGTAGAGAAAATCTACACTAGATAAAAAGCAGGGCATCAAGTTACAGACCACAGGGAGGGAACTGAGAGAGACAGAGAGATCAAATGTTCTGGGCTGGAGAGATGGCTCAGAGGTTAAGAGCCCTGGCTGCTCTTCTAGAGGTCCTGAGTTCAATTTCCTAGCAACCACATGGTGGCTCACAACCATCTATAAGACCTAGTGTCCTCTATATCACTGTATGCAAAGTAAATAAATAAAATCTTTTAAAAGAGAGAGATCAAATATTCTAAAAAGAAAAAAAAAAGCAAATAAACTCCAAGATTAGGTTGCCGGGTTTGGGCACCCCAGAAGCACCTGTGCCAGACTGCATGGTTCCTAAACACAGAAGACACATGGCTCAGTGAAGCCTGTGTCATTAGTTGTTCTGGGGTCACACAAGGTCACCTCAGACATTCCTTTTCTCATGGTGAATATTAAAATGTAGTCAGCCATGGAGACACAAGTCTTTAGAGACAGATTCAGAGTCAGGGAGGTGTCAAAGACAAAATGAACTCCAGTTATCCCAAGAGTAACTGTCTCAAAATCTCAAGCAACCGGGTATAGAAGTTGGCATTAGAAAGCTCCCCTAGCATACTAGAAGCCCTAAGTACTTGTTAATCAGCTGTTCAACAGTAAGGCCACTAGCACAGTTTAAAGCCAAATTTGAAACCAGATTTAATTAAATATTGATTGGCTAAGTGGATGAGCTCTGTCCATGTCCACATCCAGGTTCCTGTCAGTGCCCCAAGTCACTGCCTGCACTGGTTTAAGAAGGAAAACCCATAATCCATTGCAATTCCCACCAGGTCTAATCAAGGACAAGCATGCATCCTGACCTACTTCCAGCCTACATCCTACCAGGGCCAAGCATATATCCTGATGCATTTCCTGCTTATGAATCTTCAGCCCACATGTGATCAAGCACATCCGGTGCAGATGAGTCAAACAAATTGGTTTAGGGGAGTGAGCAGAGGCATTTTTGTTTCATGGATCTCTAAGGTACAGTAATTGAAACTTAAAATGGAACTCTGGCTCTCACATTCTTCCCCAACACCACAAATTAAATTAAGTTGTTACAGGTGAACTGGCTATTATAGGATGTTAAAGCACTTGTTTGAAAGCTGTGATTTATGGGGTGGAATTCACCAAACCTAGAGCCTGTGTTGTGAGCTCCAGCAATGACAAAGCTTTAGACACAAATATTTATTTGGGCGATGTAGAGCAAAATGAGTCCCTTAAGAGATTTCCAAACTGCCTCTTTTGTTTACCTTGTGGAACATTCCTATTTATATTATGTACAAGAGCTGGCCTCTTGGGATGGCCCAAGGTTACACTGCATTTCAGCCTAACAGTCTTTAGATAGCCTGTGATGGCAGGCTAAGCATAGCTAAGGTGTTTGTTTTGTCCAGAACTTGATACATAAACCAGGCTGGTTTTGAATTCACAAAATTTTGTCTTTAACTTCTAATTGTTACAAATTATCTTAATTACCAGTAGAATTTAAACACCAAGATATTCGGAAGTCACACTTCCTGGGGAGTGTGGCAGGGGCCAGAAAGTATACTAAACACAAAGCAGTTCTGTAATGATTTCATGACAGAAGTAACTAGGTGGGTTGAGCCAAGGGGCAGCACAAAGTCACACCATGCAACAGGTCTCATGTGAGAGGTTTATTAGGGACAGGGGATGCAGAGGCTCCCTCTGAGGGGAGAAGGGAGGGAAAGAGAGTATCAAGGGAAAGCACTTGTTTTTTCTAAGGGGACACAGCACATGTGCACATGGAGAGAACAGGACTCCTGGCTACAGTGTGACATCTTGCTGATGGATGATGATGTATGCTGCTGCAGGAAGGTGGAAATGCCTGAATGTTTCTGTCTTCTGCAGATAGGGTCTCCCAGGCCCTCTGCCACATAGAACCAATTTGTAAATGATACAGATTCATGAGGTTCTGACCCTTGTGTAGGGAGTTTAAGGAGTGATTTTCTAGCAGTGCACTGAGGAAATACCACATCAGAGACTGAAGCGACCCAAGACCACTGCAGCTGTCGTGATAATGTGACTATTGGTTGACATGACAGTCCCAATCAGGAACTCACTCTCTTAAGACTAGCAAGACTTGTATGCATGCAGTAGAGTAGAGCATTTGTGACAGCGCAGATTGACAGCAGGCAAGCAGGGGCTAAGGATGTAATTAGATTGGTAATGTTTGCCTATCATGTACAGAATTGGGGGTTCAGTCCCCAGCAAAATAAACAAACACAAAAACAACCCTGTGAGCCATGACATTCTTCCTGACCTATACAACTTGATTTCCTCCCTGCCATTTTCATCCTCACCAGTCACTGGGCCAATATTCTGCCTTTTCTCATAGCTCTGTGCTATGAGAAAACCGTAACTGGGTTTGCTATCTCTTGTAAATAGATATAGAAGACTTTTGGGTTGTACTGAACAGAAAGCCAGCACCACAGAGATACTTGTGAGAGAAGGACATTGTTCACCACAGCACATTCCCAGGATACAGGGCTAGGAGTCTTCTCTAGCCCTCCTTCCCTTGAAGCCTCCTTCTCTGAGGAGCCTTTTCTGTTTCTTGTCTTCTACCCACTGTAACAAGTAAGGTTTTTCCGCCTGCCGCCACTGGTCTTGTCCTGCCGCCGCCCAGCCCCAAATAATACACAGAGACTCTGTATTTGATACAATGCTGTTGGCCCTGTTACTTGTTTCTTATCGGCTAGCTCTGCCTTAATTATTAACCCATTTCTGCTGATCTAAGTATTTCTCTTACCGGGGAGCCGGTGGCATACTGCTTTCTTCAGACTCTCCATCTTGACTCTTCCTTACTACTTCCTATTTCCTCCTTGTCTCCTAGTCCCTCCTATCTTCCTTTCCTATTGGCCAACAGTGCTTTATTATTAACCAGTATGAGAAACATATACAGAATGACATCTCCCATCAACCCACCTTTACTAACATCTAACTATGCATACAATAGAAGGCAATGTCTACATCAGAGAGGATAAGACATTTGTCCCTAGCCTGAATTACTTCACATAAAATATTTTCTAATTATAACCACTTTTCTTCCAAATTTCGCTCCTTTACAGCTGAGTGGAACTCCATTGTGCATATGTATCACACATTCACTATCTGTCTCTTGTTGAATGGGCATGTGCTCAACAGTGGTATAGCATAATCATAGGGTAGATTTTGGGGAAAATGCTATACTGACTCCAATAGTGGCTACACCAGTTAACATTCCTCCCAGTAGTAAATGAGGATTGCTCTTTCCCTGTATCCCTGCCAACATCTGTGGTCACTGTTCTCTTGATGCTAGCCAGAGGGACTAGCCAGAGGGACTAGCCAGAGGGACTAGCCAGAGGGACTAGCCAGAGGGACTACCCAGAGGATGAGATGGAATCTTAAAGTTGTGTGTGTATGTTTTTTTTTGTTTTGTTTTGTTTTGTTTGTTTTGTCTTTTTTTTTTTTTGACTGAAACAGGGTCTCTCTGTAGTCCTAGTTTTCCTGAAACTCATTATGTAGACTAGGCTGGCCTTAAATTCAAAGATCCTCAAAGAGCTTGGTGACTGAATTGCATCCTTACTTGATAGCTAAGGATGTCAACAGTTATTTTTATTGATAACTTTCTTTTCCTAGTAAGCATGCCTATCATGAAGGGGAAAAAATGCTGTCAAGAATTTAAGAAAGGGGAAGGAAAAGGGAAGGGAAAAAAGAAAATTCTATTCACCACTCATGGGAATATCAATTTGTGTAACAACCATGGAAAAGAGAAAAAGTGAAAATAGAATTACTCCATTACCCAGTTACACAATTAGTAGGTCCATGCCCCAAGACAAACCACA